CCCTGTGCTTGGTTTTGTTTGGCCGCCCCCCCCCCCCCCCCGTTCAGCTGGTATGCAGTGGGATGGGAGAGGCCCGGTAAATGTGCTGTTAGAACCAAAAGGTTGGGAAATGCTGATCTAGTCCATAAAATGTCCTGTGGTCCAGATGACCTATCTCTGCAGGCCAGATGTTTGACTCTCCTGGAATAAAGATAGTAATTTCATTGTAAAATAGTTTTGAGAATTAAGAAAAGCAGTTCTAAATAAAGATAGTAATTTCATTGTAAAATAGTTTTGAGAATTAAGAAAAGCAGTTCTATACCAAATTAAAGAATTCTGCACTATCACACTCTATCATATTATGTAAGAATGAAAAACTTATATACAGCAAAAGCTGTGTTAACCAGCAATTTAGTAGCCGGAAAACTATTAACTGGCATCCAACCAAGGGATGTTGCAAAAGTGCAACCAGAGGGATCACTTCCAGGTTTTGCCACTGCTGTGAGCAGAGTTCTTGCCGCTTCTTCGGCCCCCCTCCCTGTCCCCTGGTGCACTGATGCTGGGGAGGTGCACTAGATTGATTAACTGGAATATTTGATTAACTGGCATCCCCCATTCCTGTGGGATGCCAGATAACAGAGCTTTTACTGTAGCTAAAAATATACTTCAAAAAGGCCCTGTGTAGTTTGAGAAATGACTTGGGTTAATGTTTAAACTACATGCTAATGGAGAAGATTTTAGGGCTCGTCTACTTGAGGAAATTAATGCATAATAGATTACTCCATTTACAAAGCTGAATTATAGTTATGCATGCTAAGAGAGCCAACATAGGAAGTTTGGGCAGAGTAGCTACTGTGATGTGAATTCACACCACAGCTTACTATGTACTCATACCATGTACCCTTACCGTCAGAAGGAAGGTACTGAATAGTACCTGCAATATCCATGTATATATCATGAAATCATCTGCACCTATATACAAGTCAGCTCCCTTTGACACTGTGTAACATATGAAATCTTGTAATGTTTACTGTACAGAACCACATGCAGACTGTCAAATCCAACATGTTCTTTGTACCCATGTACTTTTCTTTTGTACTGCAGGCTAGCCACCAGATATTTAAAAATAAATGTTATACAAATGGAATTGTGGACCCTTCTGTTATAGTAAAATGACCAACAATATTTTACTCAGAGAAAGATACTAGACTTTGTTTTTTAATTACATCACCAGTATGTGAAGAGGCAGAAGATGAAAGAGAGGATGCCTTCTGCAGAATATATACATAAATTGCTCATGACTTTTAGTTGAATATTGCACAAAATAGTTTGACTAGAAACATACAGTTTTGCATCTCTGAAATGGTTAATTAGATACTGACACGTTGTCACAACGGTCCCCCGGCACAAGCTGAAATCCTTCTGCTACTGTGGTAGCAGTGAAGCATGCTGGCTCTACAGCAGTAGATCCATTCTCTGCGTGTGCGTGTTTTATAAATTGTCTTACAAAGATCTAAATAGTAAAAACTGGCAAGAATGAGACAAAGCTCAGGTTTTCATTGAGAAACAGTTTTTCCTACTGAATGCTGGCATTTATTCTAAAAGAAAAATAACAAATGGAACAGCAATTTGAGTTCTGGTCACCCAACTGTTTATTAGGCCTATGCGAAATGACTAGTATTCACTTCGGATTTGGATTTGGCCAATTCGGGGGACAGCAATTCAATTCATTGATTCGAATCAGTGTCCCAAATCAATTGGGCCAAATCTGATGCAGAGATTCAGCCGCCACTGAATCAGGCCAAATCTAACAGACCCCATCCCCGTCAATGGCTGCCCCGCTTGGCCCCAGCGTCCTGGCATTTTGAAAAGAAAAAAAAAAGCCCCGCACTCACTGGCTCCAGCCAAGTTGGGGGTGATCCCCACTGCCACATGCTGTGTGGGGGGACTCTGCCCTGAGCTCCCAGAGGCCCCGATGGCTGCTGCAGCAGCTGGTGAGTGTGGGGCTTTAAAAAAAAAAAAAAAAGTGCCAGGACACTGTGGCTGGGCGGGGCAGTCATTGATGGGGCTGGGAGAGCGGGTGGGGTTTGGGGGGCGCTCAGGGAGCCTGGGGGAGCGGGCAGGGGATGGGGCCTGGCAGGGGTCCCCCATAGCCCTGCCCCCCTCCTCCAGCTCCCCTGCCCCCTACTTACCAGCATGGAGCCCGGGTGCAGCTCCCTGCGGCAGTGAGCGTGGACTGCCCGAATCTCCGAATCCAAATAAATTCGGAGGCTTCGAGTCGATTTGGACCTTTTTACTGGTCTCCCACAATTCGATTTGGAGTCAGAGATTTGGCCACCAAATCAGGACGAATCTCCTCTGAATCAAATCAGCAACTGAAGCTTCACATACCCCTACTGTTTATCTCTGTGCTCCTTTACTGGACTAGGGGGAGCAGCAGCATCCTATTGCCTCAGGGGCATGCAATTATTTCAGGTGGAGGGCCACTTACTGAGTTTTGGCAAGCCATCGAGGGCCACATGACAGGAAGCCAGGGGTAGATAAATATTAATTTTCTACATTTTTTAAGGACCTTGTGGGCGGGACAGAATGGCTTGGTGGGCCACATTTGGCCCACCTCTGTATTAGCTACTGCTTTACCTCATTAAGGCACATATAAACAGATTTGTAAGTGTATGGCCATGTGCTACTTGTACAAATGTCCATCCATAGAAACTAACTGGTGACTCAATTTAAGCTGCAGTTCATTATGGAACAGCAACAGAAATATCTGTTACCATTTCAAAAGAAAGCACTAGGTTCACAGTATCATGTTAAAATATTTAATAGGGAAATATTTAATAGGGAAAATCTTAAGCATTTTATTAAACATGTAGTTTTACATTTTTCTCTTAGACATGTCCAAATAGAGGTTTGTAATAATAAAAAAAAATGCACATTTGTTGTTCTTTATATGGACAAAAACCACTGACCTGGAATTTTCTTGACAGAATAAAGTATGAAACGAATTCTGCATTAAATAAAACTGAGGAAGATCATACAGAAAGAAATAAAATCGGTGTTAAGACATTTACTTTCTTCCTAAAACACTAAAATATTCCATGGTACTTGCATTACTATTACTCAGAGTTTTGATCTTTAATAAACCTTAAAAAGGTGGATAATTATCTACTACATTTTAAATAGTTCTATTAAAATGCACAACTTACTTTCTCCTTTAAAAATCTCAATGTTACTGCTTCTAAATTCAAGTCAAAATACAATGCTCTTTACAGATACATATATGTACATAAGACACTAATATTTTATGTATAGGGTTACAACAGTGTACGGCTTTAATTTTGACTTGTAATATACAAGGCAACCTATGTTATTTGAATGTATATTATTCAGATAAAACGAGCAGTCTGTACGGAGTTCAATGCATATAAAGTCTAATGCTGTGGTTTTCAAAAAGTACCTACGCATGATGGGTATCTAATTCCGACTTGCTCAGGAAGATTTTGGCTCCTCTCAGGCCCTTCTGAAAAGTCTCGGGCACGAACTTTAACACATTACAAAAAGAAAAAAACAAATAAGCTATAAGTAAGGGAAGTACCTTACACTGAACAATATGACATTTTGGAAAAGTACGAGTCAGTTATCTTGTTAGATCACCACACAAAGGCAGCTCTCTCACGTAACATCCGTACACCAAATCGCTGCCATTCTCGCTGATATATCCAGAGTTCTTGAGTTGTATCAAGGCAGGCCAAAACTGCACCCCCTTTCCATGCAATCAAACATGGATCCATATCCTAAATATAAAAGAAAGATTAGATAAAAATTCCAGATCTTGTGTGAAGAGAGGTCCTCAATAATTTCAGCTCCCACTTTAATTCAGTGGGACATAAGATTCTGGAAAAAAGTCAGTCTAAAAATGTATTCAGGAAAAAAGCATTTGCAGAAACCATAACTATTTCTCCTTGGGTCTGTTTTATTAAGCAACTCGAGAATCACCAGTTTTTATTGTCTGTTTTAATTCAGGGTAGTCATAGCAGGAAAAGTCTACCCTTGCTAAGATTTTGCATTTAAAAATTTTTGAGTTATGTTATTTACATTCTTAAAACCATACTTCCTCTTATTTTTCTTGAATGAATGCAAGCAGAAAGCTAATACAATCTACTGACAACTGAGCCTTTTTCTTAAACTTTACTTTGTTCTTAAATCTAATTTTGTTGCCATAGGTTGAGTTCCTTGATCTGAAAGAAGCAATTAGTGTTAATCTAGAAAACATAATGTCACAATAACTATCTCTTCTACTTTTAGATACAGATATACAACGACAGTTAAGGGCACTTTGTGCCTGAAATCTTGTCCAACATCTCCCCAACTACAGAGCTGATCCAATAAAAGACCCTTACCTCTCATAGCTTATAACATAGCAATCTGAAAGTCTTCTCCCAATAGACATGTAAATGAACAGTGATGCATAATAGATTTTTAAATCTTTAAGATTCCAACTAGTGACCAATAAACTCAGCTTCAACCATTCCGTTATCAATCAACATACCTTAGGTCTTGTAATGACTTCCACATTTTCAACAACTCTTCTAAACGAAGGAGGCATTTTGTTGAGAATCCGGTGTTGAAGAAATTCTTGAGCTTTATGAAACATCAGACCTCCTCCCACTACTAGGATGGAACTGTACATCTTCTTCTTGGTATCATCAGATGCTGGAATGATTTAAAAATATAAACAAGTGCTAACATTGTGTACGCTTGGACAATGAAGGGAAAAAAAAAAAATCAGTCAAATGACTTGGTTAAATTTATATTAAAAGCAGATGTGTCTTAATTACTAACAGCACAAAAGACATTCAACTAAAATGGGCTTTCATCACATATACGACGTGATGGCAGTATAGTTATTTTCTAAGAGACAAACATAATGGAAAGAACTGTACTTCCTGTAATGTAATGAAAGATGTTAAGAATTGCTTCAAGCTAAACCAAATGACTGGGAACAAAGTATTCTGACATCATGTAAATACAGTTCTTACCACAGCAGTCAATACTGTGAAGAATGGCTTTGTCAAGTCCTAATGCTTTCCCTTCAAACTGCGATATAGCTGTCTTCCTGGACATGTGTGCTGCTAGAGGTTCCTCAGACTCATTTCCTGTTATTAGACAATCACCCTGAGAGGATCCTAGTTCCACTTCTTGAGGATAGATCCTCTCTGAAATGTCTGAGGACTGACCACGTAGATCTCCCTCAAATCCACCAGGCTTAGACATGGACTTTCGATCAGCTGTAGCTTTGGCAGACTTAAAAATAAGATGATAAATTGGTAAGTTAGTTTTATTTACACAAAAAATAGATGTTCCTTCATGCACTGCTTGACCACAATAATTTAAACACTGTATTTTGTTTCTTTTACTTCACTTTATCTTACTGAGACCTGCTGAATGCTGCTTTTCCAAACCCAGATAAGTTTCCCTAAACTCTTCTTTAAGAAAGTATAGTAACTTCACTTTTCAAGTCCATCCAACTACATTCCTAGCATGAATGCAATTATACTTGTTTAGCTTATTCTCCTTAGTTTCTAATATACTCACCGCTATTCAAAAAGTGGGTGTAGATCAGCACTCAATTCATAAATCCTATACATCGGTATATTAAAACTCACTTAAATTATTTACCCAGAATTTTATGGTAGTTAGATTTGAACACATTTAGGATTAGTCCCTTGAACAATGCTTAAAGTGCTGCAGATGCTTTTTACAATCTATTTACAATGAACATAAGAGTTTATTGATTGGAAAAATGCAGAGAATGCCCCACAGTAATGAGGCTAACAGCGATATTCGGTATATAAATTATAAGATATTTTAGAATTATTGCACGTTAAAAGGTACTGCGACCTGTTACACAAGATGGAAAGGCAAAGATCCCAAATGGATGTCATTAGTATTATGATAGCGTTGGGAGTGCTACTGTAGCCTTGATGGTCCCAGAATTATGGACGAGGGAAGAATTTTCATGGGTGATATCTTTCTTGCACCAACTGCATGGTTGGGATAAAATTAGACAAGCTTTCAAGCGCAAGGCATTTTTCATCCCCAAATCACTGTATATTATGGTTAACTTCTAAACTAGGTAGTTAAATTCTGAACTTCTTAAATTGCCTATACTAGAGAAATTAGGCTTTACTTCCCTATTCCTGTTCTGCAAAGCTGTTAATCCAAAAAGGCTAAGAGATAGCAGTTATACAGTGGCTGCATTTCAATGGAGGGTGAAGAGTTTTGCTAAGCTACACACAGATATCAATAATTTCCTGGTTAAGTAATAGTTAACCAAACATTTACACACCTGCTCCTGTTTACTTTGCGTAGCTAATAGATAGTGTTCATCATGGGGATCCTCAGCATCACCTTGTGATCGGTGTTGCAAAGCTGTCATTTTTTGCCCCACAATTCCAAAAGTTGCTGGATAAAACAAAGCCATTGGAGCCTACAAAGACAGAGATGAAATACTGTAGTTTCACTACAATTTTAGTTTAATGGATACACATTACATTTATTCTAACAAGTACCCTGATTTATTTTTACTGGATTTACAATTTTAAGCATCTCTCACCTCAGAATTGAAGGAAGACCATTTTGTTTCAAGAAGGCTTTTAAATAAACTTAAATATCTAAGTTTGTTCAGTTGCAAGCCATTGCAAGAGACACCTAGGGACATCATATACCTACCTATAAATTTAACTTAAAAACATGACATCAGATGGTAAACCAGAGTTCATAAATCAGTGCTGTTAGACAGCATATTGCAAAATAAGGAATCATAGTAGTGAGAAATGAAACTACCTTCTTTAATTAGCATCCCTGCTCCTACAAATTGCAGAGTTTTATGCAGTCATTGTGATGTAACAAACCAATGGGGGTTAACCTCTTTGGCAGACATGCCACAAAGTAAACTCTGCAATGGACCCAAGTGCCACTGTGATCCTCTTCCTTGCCTAATTTGTTGCTCTGCTTTCTGCTCTATCTGCCACTGTGTTCCTTGCTCCTTCCGTAATCCATCATACGAGCACACAGACATTGCCCATGCCAGTTGTCCATGCATGCCAGCAGGTGGCCACTAGGGATGTGCAAAATTTCGACAGGCATTTTGTTTTGAAGCTGGCTTGATGTGCTTTGAGCTCAAAACAGTGACATTTTCAATTTGTTTTGTTTCACAAAAGGCTTTGAAACAGCTTTGAAACTAAATGAGGGCATGCAAAACGTTTCAATGTTTTGAAATGTTTTGAGTTTTGAAGCCAAGCTTGCTTGCAGCTAAACAGAAACTAAGGGAAAGGAGGGGGAAGAGGGGGGAAGGACTGCTCTGATATTGACATATAGCTCCCTGTTCAATTCCCCAGCTTTCTCATCACTTCCCACAGGCCCCCAGATGATGCGGGATGACGGCAGGCTGCTGCTGCCAGCTGGTAATAGCAGCAGCTCAGAGCTATTTCCCCAGCTGGCAGCAGCAGCCTGCTGAAGAACCACACACAGATCCAGGGGCCCGCACCCCACAAGAGGGCTGTGCCAGACTCTTCCTGGGGGGTATGGGCCCCGGGATCTGCACACAGGATGACAACATGCTGCTGCTGCCAGCTGAGGCCAACACCAGTACACGAGTCTGCCCAGCACAGCCCTTGCCAAGTGCCAGGAAGAACCCAGTGCTGGTGCTGGCTCCAGCATGCTCTCATCCTGTGCACAGATCTGGGGGCCCACGCCCCCTAGGAGGGCTGTGGGGCTGTGCCAGCTGGCAGCGGCAGCATGCTGTCATCCTGCACACAGATCTGAGGCCCCCACGCCTCCTGGGAAGAGTCTGGCACAGCCCTGCAGCCCTCCCCAGGGCGCATACCCCCAGATATGTGCACAGGATGACAGCAGGCTGTTGCTGCCAACAACTGACATGAGTTTTGCTTTGAACAGTTTGAGGTGCAGTTTTCTAGAAACCCCTCCTTAAAACTTGGCAGGCTTCATGCCCTCAGAAGGGGCTACCATCCCTGCAATTTTCATCTGAATCAGGTAAGAAGTGAAAAAATTATAGGCATTTTCATGATTCCCCATTATAGCCTATGGGCGAAACGTCGAAACAGTGAAAGTTTTGATGAAATGAAATGGAATAGTACTTCAAAACAGGTAAATGAAACACTGTCCCTTCGAAACGGAACTCTAAACGAAATGGTGCTGTTTAGCACAGCCCTAGTGGCCACCCCTGCAATAGACACTTAAATTAATGTTAATGATATTTTTTATAAAACAATGCTAATATCCATCCATAAGTCTAATTTGTACAGCATGTTGGGGGATATACCCACCAAAATATGAGAGTTAAGAGACAACCAAGCCATCCAGTGTTCCGTGGAGTAGGCAACCGGGTAAATGCTGTAGGATGAAAGACACCAAGACAAACACTGAATATGTTACTTTTAGGTACACATTTTGAAATTACCTGTAGTTTTTCATCCCCTAAACGGAACTGGTATAATAAGGCTGGAGAGTCCGGATGGCGAATTTGGAACTCATGGTCTTGCAGTCCAGAAATATCCTGGTATCAGTCAAACATACCAACATACATTACTAATTTGGAACAACTTAATAAGATCACTCTGCTACTCTTTAAGCACTAAGATAAAAGGTAACAAAACTGCCATAACAAGTCAGAATTTTGTTTTCAGTTATCCCCCAAATTCCTCCATTTTCTAAAGCCTCCATTCTGCAACAGAATCTGTTAGTACAGCCTCTTTTCCATGTGGTCCACAACTAAAGCTTTGTCTGGATACCAAAGTCCATGTTCACAGATCTTGTTGTAGGCTAAGGCCTTAAAGTAGGAACTATATGACTCCGGCTGAAATCATCACCCAACAGCAAGAGGAAAAATCATGCCTTAAAACCTATACATGATCTCTATATGCCTAAAAATATGTGTTTCTAGAGATTAATATTTCTCTTACCCAAAATAATGGTTCAGTTTAGAAAGCATTATGTTTTCTATATTCATACAACCCATTTCTATATATACCCCTCTACCCTAAAACAGAATAGTTTGAAAAATATTTTCTTTATATTGCAATGTACAAATCAGCTGTTATATTTTATGCATAACTGTCATGGGTTTTTTTTTTCAGTAAACAGCACTACACTGTAAAACCACATCTAATCATCTTGGAACAATCTGTTACTCTGAAAACTCTCCACTTCCTTCCTCACCTGGTCTAAATGACAAAATGTCTCTTTGAGGTGCTGCAGGAGAAGGCAGTCCAATTTGTTAGTTAACTGACAATCTCTGTAAGGAAATCCAGCTCGCTGCATAAGCCAGTAAAAACACCTTGATACATCAGACCCTCCATATGCAAGGCACAACCTAAAACACAGAGAAAGAAACCAAAACAGTTGGTTCATTCATTTTCCCTGTCGCTAAGATATTGTGTGTCAGCATAAGAAGGAACGTGAACATTTTAGAGTCAAGGTGCTTATAACCTCCACATAATTTACACAGCAGATGGAACTAGTTCCTGCTTACTCTGTATATTCCTCAGCTATATGGCCCATATTATGGTATGGACCCTACACACTTATGGGACTGCCTTCTCTCTTAAATTCCACCATGGTCCATAAGGTCAGCCAAGAGCAACCCCCTGAAATACGATCTGTGCACCACATCTGTTTGGTAAAAACCATGTAGGAGGTCATTCTCAGTAGTCACTCTTCAGCTCTGGAATTCCCTACCACTTGTAGTCTGTCAGAGCATAAGCCAGGTCTTCTCCTGGAAGTGCTATAAAACCTTTTTATTTGGGCAAGTCTTCAGCAAGCAGGCTTAAGTTTAGGGGTGCTGTCTGGACAGTTTGTTCTATTATATATTATTCCATTGCAGCATTTTTAGCTGTCTTCATAAATTGTCTGTTTTTTCTTATAAGATGTCCTGAGCTACTTAAGGGGAGGGCAGCATATAAACCAAATAAATGTAATGGGATTCTCTTATTTTGACTCAATTATTTAACAAACAAGCCTGCTACATGCTTACAGTGTTGCCTTAACTCAGACTAGTATATAAGCCTTTGACTTTAGAAACAAGTACAGTAATATTAAATACACACACCCACATTTGTTACCACATTTTTCACTTATGATCTTGCAGATTAAAAAGTTACCGGGTATTGCGATGTGAAACTCCATCCTCCACACAACAAACACTGGTCTTCTGATCGCCCACATCCACTATACATGCACTACCTAAGCCACTTCCAAAAGTAGCACAGACAGACTCCTGATGTACGACAATACCTAGAAAAATAACAATAAAATATACATCTGGTTTTAAACCAAGCTCCTGAAATGTATCTCTGTCATTACAATAGCATTATTTTTTAACTTACTAGGGGCCTGAAACTGCATAAAAAAATTACGTTCTACAGAAAGTGACACCATTTGCTACGATACTCACACTTTCCATCAATGAAAAGACCCTTAAATGTTGAAGAAAAATAACTTAAGAGTGGAGTGAAAAGCTGTGTTCAAATATTCTTTTAAGAATGAATTTAAAAATTTGGATCTTACAGTAATCTTAGATTTGAAACTGGTATTCAATCATCATTTGCAACAAGGCTTCAATCATCAGGAGCAGACAAGTAATTTTACTCAACGCTGTTTTAATAATATGCAATTTTCCTGATTTCTTGATTAATGTACAATTTTCTTTAGAATGTGCACTATAATGTTTTAAACAGAAAAAAGACCAGGTTTGAATCCATCTCTTTCTCCCTCCATTCCTCTTTGAAACCTCACAAACAAACTACTCCTAGTTACATCAAATATGTACTCTTCTATCTAAACAGCATGAGAGAACAACTCGCTTCAAAACCTCTTCCAAACTTTGAAGGAAGAGGATCACTCACAGTTGAGTACGTGTTTAGTAGAAAAAAATAGTATTGTAAAATAAGTTACTTAAGAGGAAGAAGCTGAGAGTTGAGTTACTTTCTATAATTGGCTCAGCTCTTTAATGAGTTGATATTTAGGAAACAGCACCCTCAAGTGGACATGCTGAGAACAATTATCTTTATTTTTGCCCTATTATATCTTCTTGAATCAAACAGATGTATACAAGTAGAATTAAAAGGCACTATTCTTCTCATGTAATGTGAGCACCCCTAACAAGACCATCTGACAAAGCATGAAATTAGAATGCTTCTCAAAAGCATTAGGTAAGAGTTAGAAACAACTGCTGGAGTACAGGGACATAACCTGGTAGTTGGTAGTTAACTTGGAGAAACAAATTGATCTTGTTTGTGGTATATTATTTGTATGTATGGGTGCATGTACACACACCTGTCTGGATGTAGTAAGTGAGCTGTCCCTCTCCCTCCCACAGTTACATCTTTCAAATGAAATGTCACCTCCCTATGTTTAATTTTCTGTGTCAAGTGTAGATACAGGAAAGCAAGTTCTGAAATCTATCATTCAGCAAAGATGAGGAAATATACTTGCTGCTGTGGCAGCATTCAGGAACTGTGCCTTTATTACTTATTAAAACTCAGCAGAGTCATTATGTTCTTTAACTGCTTGCACGTAACTTAATCGTTTACAGTATCCCCTAATGTACAGCTTATGATTCCTTTCCACTTTTCTTAGCTTCTCTCTCAATATTTCACGTTGTGCAAAGAGCTTTAAATACCTCACACAGAAATAGACTTACTGGTTTCTTCAAGGATTGGTTGAGAAGCTTAAAACTGAGAACTGTTCATATGGCACATTACTGTCACTACTATGGCGATTCTCTGAGAAGATACAAGTCTTGCCCATTTAAAAGAAGTCAGATTTTCTAGAAAAATATTTAGTTGTATGAACCAGAAAAAAATATTACAGGTATAGCTCAGGTTTTCCCTTATTTTAAAATAGAAAAAGGACAGACTTCTATAGTAACCAAAACACAGAAAAACATGAGAAACTATCCAAAAGACAATTTGTATTTTTGTTACTGTCCTGATTTTAGTGTAACTATTTCCGTAAGCCAGCTTCTACTACAGTGCATGAGAAAGAGAATAGTATATCCTTGCATTTTCATATCCTAAGAATCTCAAAATGCTCTGCAGGCTGTCTGCATAGGGACTTAACCCACCACTGAAATGCAACAACATCTGTGGCAAAATGTCAATCAGTGCCTGCTCCAGTGTAAAATGTCAATCTGTAGCCATACAAGAAACTGAATGCCAAGAGCAGCTGTGCTATTTTTCTTCTCAAGGTACTGTTATATGCCAGCCTTAACTGAGACAATAAACTTGGTCTTGTGACAAGTAACAGAAGAACATGGGTAACTTACCCAACATTTGCTGACAAGTACACCCTGCCCCAATAGACAAGATTTAGAAAGTAAGTGGGAACATGTTAGGAACTTTCTTTGGAAACAGAAGGTGGGTCCAGCTCAGAAGTCAAATGCCTTTCAAAACAATTTTTTGCACCATACCAATAATGAGTATTAAATACTTGCTGATTTACCTGAAAAGCCCATCTTCATTAGGATCATATTTACCAACTCCTTCACATGCTGCTTATTATAGATGTCTGGAATCAGTAAAATGCATCTGTAATACTGAACACAAGAACAGCAAATTAAGACCACTTTTCAAAGCAACAGAGTTCAAAACAGTTCTTCTGTATACACTAGAAGCTAGATAGTACATGCATAGTAAGCTATACAGAGGACCTACCAAGAACCAGTATAACTGAAAAAGAGAAGCAGCTAATTAAAAATATATATATGATTTAAAAATCAGTTCACAATAGTATTAAATTGTATATACAAAATGTTATAGGAGGTTTACAAACATTTCAGGCTACAGACAAATCAGATACTAAGCAAAGAAATTACACAAGCTTTATGAATTTGGTCCTCAGTCCTTTCAATTCAAGTAAACATATGAACACAAAACAATGATTTGAAATGTTAAGCTGAATTTTAAAAAATCTAATATCCTAAAAAACTCTGATACCAAATCCTACTCTCAGGTAAGTGGGCAGGATTAACTCCAAGTGAAGCTCATAGGACCTGCATGAGCCAGAAGGCAACATTCAGCCATAAAAAATCATCAACGAAGGGTTTAGAGGCAACAATGTCAGCAGTAGGGCGAAGATATCTGGTTGCTCCCTAGCTGATACCTTCCAAAGCCCTCTGGACAATGCAGCAGTGGGTATAGGAAAGAAAGTTGCCAGTATCTCACCTTTAAATCTTTCAGTGGTATTTCTAAATATTTTTGTATTGCATGAGACCATATAACTTCAAGATCTGCTAGCACTGCAGTTAGGGAGCCTCCAGGCCCTGGGTGGATGTTCAACTGTCCTCGTCGGATAGGCCAGTGAATATTATAGCAGTCTAATGGATTTACATACAGTGCCTGAAAAGAAAAAAGAAAGTCCTATATATAGTCTTCCTCAGTCTCTTTCAACAAGCAACTTTGAAACTATTTTGATTCACGGGCAGGGTACACAAATGGCCTAAGCTATTATTGCAAAAACAATATATTTTCTTAAAACATAACTTCTTTTCAATGGGAAATGAAGATAAATGGCTTCCATCAATAGCAGAAGAAAGACTGGACCATAATATATAAAGGAGGAAGCACATATGGTAGTTAAAGAACTTATTTTCAAAGTTACTTGAATATTCATGACCATAGCAATCCATCGAAGGAGCAGGTAACATATTCTGAACACTGAATCAGATTAGAGAGAGAAACAGAAATTAATATGTAATGATAAACCTTTAAAAACACTTTCTTGTTCAAAGGAAACTGACATACATATTACTTGATGACTAATGCTTTACGTTCCTCTTGTTGCCAGTGTCTTGCCTTTTCCACACATTAGACCGGTGATTCCCAAACTGGGTGCCACAGCATCATGGGGTGCCACCAGATCCTTTGAAGGATGCCACAAGAGGGATTTGTACACACGCTTGCACTGCAGCCCCAGGTGCTTTTAAAAGCACCCAGCGCTGCAGCACATGCAGTTGTACAAGCAGCAAAATGCTCGTTGGTGCTGAGAATATGGCAGCAGCATGCTTTTGAACTAAAACACATATACAAGTGCATGTGATGCATACTTATACAAGTGCATGTGATGCACCGCAGTGCACATCAGCTCATGTGTGGAGCAGACTCAATTAATCTCCGGTGCATCGCAGGACAAAAAGGTACATGTATAAATGCTCAAGGTACAAGGAGATAAATCAGGGGTGGGCAAAATATGGCCTGCACGTCATTCCATCTGGCCCATGGGGCCCCTTAAAAATGTAGAAAATTATTATTTCTCTGCCCCTGGCTACCTGTCAAAAATGACAGGAACCAAGGGCAGTAGGACCCAGGCTAGCAGCGGGGCCGGGTTACAAGCTGGTGCTGAGCACAGGGAAAAGTGGCCCCCTTGCTCGCTGTGTGGCCTGTGCCCCGCGCTCACAGCCTGCCTGGGACTGCCTGCATCTGCTCCAGACAGCCTCGCATGGGCTGCGAGCACCGGCCACGGGGTCGGCGAGGGGCCGCTTTTCCCTGTGCTCAGCACCAGCTTGTTCCCTGCCGGCAAGCAGGGGGTCAGGGCTGTGCACTGACCCCCGCCTGTACCGGCTGGGGGGCACTGGGTGCGAGTGGGTGGGGAGCCAGTGGGAGTACAGGGCCTGCACTGGTTCATAGTTTCATAGATTTAGGGGTCGGAAGGGACCTAGTAGATCTTCTAGCCCGACCCCCCGCCAGGGCGGGAGAACAACAAAACCCCAAAACAAGAAACGGGACTCAAATGAGTCCAGCCAGGTAGGCATCCAGCCTCTTCTTAAAGACCCCCAGGGTAGGGGCCAGCACCACTTCCCTTGGAAGTTGG